AAGAGTATCAGTGTTCAGAGTAATTAAAATGAAGCATTGTGCCACAGTAGCAAATGATGATTTATAATGCCAAATAACAGCTGTGCTGCCCCCTCTCTTCCACAGGCCCAGTGGGAAGGATTAACTGGACGGATCGTCTTCAACAAAACCAGCGGGTTAAGGACCGACTTTGACTTGGATGTCGTCAGCCTCAAAGAAGACGGCCTGGAAAAGGTTGGTTAAGTTTGTCCTACCTGTTGATTAAACGTTACCGGGGCCTTCCCGGGGCAATGCTACCCCAATAATGCGGAGAAGACTGGCTTGGCTTGTGGTTTCTATAGCTGCTGCTCTTGGTGCCCAAAGGCGTTTGCTGTTGTGGAGCTGTTTCAAACCTCCTCCTCAGCCTGCTTCCCGGCCTGCACGCAGGGATGTGCACGCATCCTGTCCTAATGCTCTCCCGCCCGGGCTGTCCGAGTTATTTGCCATGTAAACGGCGATTGCACCATAGACGGAGCTTGGCGGAGCAGAAGCGGAAGAAGGGACTTTCCTAGCAGTCCTTCGGCCACTTCTTTCCATGCCCACGGGAGGTGGGGAGAGCAAAACAACTCTGTCCTCTCTCCGTGCCGTGGAGGGGGTGTGTAAAGTGCTCCACGGTTTTCCCCGAGGCGGCAGCAGCAGCAGCAGCATCGCCCCTCGTGGTGTGATCTCCTGCCACGAAAACTGCCCAAGGCCTGGACATGTCAGCAGCCCGGGTTCTGGAGGAGATGATGTTATATATTTGTGTCTGGTTTTTGCTCCTGGAAGGGCAGCAAAGGAAGGGAAAATGGGCAGGAGAATTTCCTGGCCTCGTGCTGCGCAGGCAGGGGTGTGGAGGAAACCAGGCAGTGCAAACGCTGCAGCCAATTAGCAGAGTCCCCTCTGGGCACAAGAGCGTGCGAGCAAGGGGCAGGCGTGACCCTCGGGTGCTTGTTCCTGTATCAGGACCTGCTTCTCAAAAAAATAAATAAATAAATAAATAAAATAGAGAGTGATATGCAAAGCGTTGCAGCTCCTGAGGCTCCAGACTCAAGGTGAGCTTGAATCATTTGGCAGCCAGTACAGAGCAGTAAGTGGCTGCCCGTGAAACAGAGATATCCGTGCCATGGGCAGCTGATACCCGGAGCTATGAGCTTCCATGTGCTCTCGCAGGTAATGCCATGTGCAAGCGTATCTACTGTGTAGATAAGGGAGCCAACAGATTTGGGGATCAGGGACCCACAGGGCCTGGTTCGCTGGTGCAGCTGGGTCTGCAGGGAGAACCAGGAGCATCGTCTCCCGCTGTCCAGCGAGCAAGCCTGGGTCAGCGTCTCCCTGCTCCCCTGCAAGCTCCTGGTGCTCGCGGCAGGGCTGTTGCAGGGAGGTCTGTGGGTGGAAGTCACTTCATGGCTTGCAAATCACTCTCCAGAGCGGGGTCTATTCGCTGAGGCTCCCAGGTGCGTTTCTGCCGCTACGGATCTCGTGACCTTTGGACGCGAAGATGGGCTATGAGTACAGCAAGACATGCAAGCTGGGAGCCGAGCAAGGGAGCCTTCAATTAAATGCAAGCAAGCCATTGCAAGGTGCACAGCTGACTTTCCTGGCAAAGGCAGCAGAATTAATCAAACGGGGCTCGCCGGACCGCTAGCTCGCGCCTGAGCCAGCATTTCCATTGCGGTCCTGGGCAGGAACAGGCTGGTTGTGAGGGGCAGCAGCTCGCGGGGGAGCCACGAGGCAGCTGGAGCCTGCCTTCCTTCCTCTTTAAAGCAAGGCATAGCCCTGCTCTCATACCCTGCCACTGTCTAATGACAAGCCCCCTCCATGCACGGCGTTGTCTTCAAGGGCAACGTTGACTTGTTTAGGGCCTGTTTTTTATGCCGGGTGCAGACTAGGGAAAAAGAGTCCCTTTAAAAAACGGCCAGCGGCATCCTGGGCTGCCTCGGCAGGAGCAAGAGCGCTGCCGGCAGATGGAGGGCAGTGATTTTTCCCCTCTATGCAGCACCGGGGAAGCCAGATCTGGAGCCCTGTGTCCAGCTGTGGGCCCCACCACAGAAAGGATGTGGACACATTGGAGAGAGGGCAGGGGAGGGGAACGAAAATGGTTGTGGGCTGAGGGACGGGACTGGTGAGGGGATGCTGAGGGAACTGGGCTGATTTTAGTCTGGAGAAGGGAAGACTGAGGGGGATTGAATAGCAGCCTTCACCTCCCTGCCGGGGGGCTGCAAAGAGGATGGAGCTGGGCTGGTCTCAGCGGGGGCAGATGACAGGACAAGGAGCAATGGGCTCAGGCTGCAGCAAGGCAAGTTGAGGTTGGATATTAGGGAAAAAAACCTCTCAGGAGGAGGGCGGTGAAGCACTGGAGCAGGCTCCCCAGAGCGGTGGTGGACTCTCCATCCTTGGAGGTTTTGAAGACCCAGGTAGACAAAGCCCTGGCTGGGATGATGTAGTTGGGGCTGGTCCTGCTTGGAGCAGGGGTTGGACTAGATGTGACCCCCTGAGCTCCCTCCCACCCTCATTTCTACGACTGTATGATGCTGAATGCCTTCTGCTATTCACTGCCTGCTCACTTCCTACCCCGAGCTCAGCCAGGGCTCTCTCCAAACGCACGCTGCCCATTGCTTCAGCATCCCTGACGCTCACCCCTGCCCGCTCTGCCAGGGCACCGTGGTCCTGACGTGCCAGTGACATTGGCGTCCTCCAAACCCAAGCTGTTGTTCAGCTTTTGCATGAACTTCACACTTAAATGCTATCAGAGCTTTTGAAAACATCCCCTACTGCATTATGGCGGGGGCCTTCTCAGGCTCTTTCTTAACTTGGGCTGCACAGACTGGAAAGGCCTGCAGAGACCTCCTGATGAGCCCAAGTGAGTTTAACCCATTGCTTCCCTGGTGAGAGCTGCTTCGTTTAGTTTTGGGTGTGAGTTGCTCTGCTCAACTAGTCGCAGGCCGGGGCGGGGGTTTTGGAGGACTGCTCTGGATTTCCAGTAACGCACTTGGAGGCTGATGCTTTGCAAACCCAGTAGAAGAAACGACTGCTGCATGCAGAGGGCTGGCTGGTGAAGTGATAGCTCGCTATTGCAATGATATTTTAAGATTCCGATTTACTTGGCATCCAAAACACCTGCCACTTTTGCCCATCAGTCAAGCTAATACTCTCAGGTGCGCAGAAGAAGTGCATTTATTACCCTTGC